CTAACAGTTCAGTAGTATTGCATAGACTGAGTTGAACGTTGATTCCAAATCTCAATTTATCAAAATCTGTTTCTTTCCTTCTAGGCCCCTCCCACTTATGATGCCCTTGTACAGATGGAGTATCTTGACATGGTGTTGAATGAAGCTCTCAGATTATATCCAATCGCTGGTAGACTTGAGAGGGTCTGTAAGAGAGATGTGGAAATCTGTGGTGTGTTCATTCCCAAAGGGACAGTGGTGATGGTGCCAACCTTTATTCTTCACCGGGACCTGGATCTCTGGCCAGAGCCTGAGGAATTCTGTCCTGAAAGGTATGGGGAACCCTGAAAAAGAGATCCCACCCTCATATAGGAAGATATTCTGATATTTCTTTGTATAGATGACAAAGATCTGATTGTTCAGTTGTTTATTTCTATATCTTTTTATATTTAGAAGTATTTTTCTAATTATAAAATGATTATTGTCAAAATTTTACAGATTGTAGTTGAGAGAAAAAGAAACTTAATGTCATCATCAGTACAATATGTCAAGATTATTAATAATGATATGTTACATCTTTGTGGACATTTTCCATGCATATATAGATTACTTAAAGTTAGAATGGCATTATATTTTTTGACTACTTAATGTAACAGTAAACTATAATCAGTAAATTCTATGTGATTTGTGTTTATTATTATATGCATATATCATAATTTATTTAACCAATATCTTATTTAAGAAAATGGGACTCTTTTTTCTTTAAGTTTTTCTGTCCTCCCCACATCCTTACATTTACTCCCCACATCCTTACATTCCATGTTTATAAACCTTGGCCACCATTTCCACTAGCCCTAGTGGGAAAGGAGAGGCTGTGGAGCTGAGAGTCCTCATCCCTGGCAGGAGGAGCAACCTCATGAGGATGGGGGCGTACACAAATCCTGTGATTTCTGTGGCTGCAGTCCTGTGCCAGCTCCCACCTCTCTTGGTATCTGGGGTTAGTCCAAAGAAAAGTCATCTGCTCTATAGCCATCTGAGACATCCTTCTTGAAGGGTCTTGAACTTTCTCTCTGGGAATCCAGAGCAGAGTCTGGCTTTGGGCACAGCTTGAATTCTGTAAAGAGCTGCTGCTTTCCTGTTTATTGTATTGGTGAGAAAAAATTTGGAGTACATTTGTAGGTATCTAGACTTTTAGCTCTGACTCTAAGCTCCCTGATGGCAGGGTCCTTGTCTTGTTGCATGGTGTTCTAGTGCTAGCATTGTGTCTATACATACTACTTGCTGAAAGAAGTCAGAATCGACCAAGTTGTCTGTTTTCTGGACCAAGAGACCTGGTGGTTCCCACAAGCTCAGAAGTCCCCAGTGCTGTATTTTCTGAAACAGAAAACAGAGACTCCTGGTTCTTCTCTGTGATTCATTCAGCAATGAGAGGAAGTGCTTACCTCTGTGTGTCAAGGACTATGCCAGGCAGCACCAAGTCCACATATTAAAATGTCTATTATGGAGAATTTTTGACACACGCACAAGCATATTTTGTAGATGCATGTATATGAAATACTCTTAATGCATTTATGTGTGCCCATCATCTGTCCAACACCACTAACCTCTATCAGCTGCCCCATCCACAGGCCATAACAATTCCTCATCTTATGCCCATATCTCTGTAAGACACACCATCTCATTCCAGAACGTTGTCCATTTTTTAAAAAATGCTTGTTTATTTTTGAGAAAGAGAGCAGGAAGGGGGCATAGGGAGAGAAAGAGAGAATCCCAAGCAAGTCTGCATGGTCAGCAGAAAACCTGATGTGGGGCTCGAACTCATGAACCCTGAGATCATAACTTGAGCCAAAATCAAGAGTTGAACAGTTAACTGACTGAGCCCCAAATATTTTGTCCATATTTTGAACACTTTTAAAAGATATCTACTGATGATGTCATTATCACTTTCCGCAAATCTATATTTTTCCTTAATAGGAAGCCTCATGTAACAGACAGAGAAGAATTCAGTGATTACACATATCTGTCAGTGTGATTATAGTGAGCAGCAGCATGTGCTCATGTAAATCTTCTGACAGGCTGTTCTGTCGAAGTGGCTGGGGGGATCCTAGTGGGGAGGGGAGGGAAGAGAAGAGAAAAATCACAATGTAAATCACGGGAGACATTTCTTCTGCTTCCTTCTTGAGCATTTGACCACAGTAAGTCAATGGAGGTAGGAATCTACCTTTTCTTCAGTCAGGCTCATTTCCTGCTTGCCTTTCAGAGTGTGAACATCTCCCTACCCTGACTGTAATTCTAGTGTTTAAGATAACCCTTCCTTTTAACAACATTCATCTCATCTCCTCAATAAGACTGACCACTCCCACAGGGTAAGGGGAATGCAGAGAATCTGTAGCTTACAGTTGTCACCGCAAAATAAGCATGGCAGGATTTCAGTGACCAGCTCCCAAGAGTGTCCTGTGTAGTCCTGGTTGAGAACCCCACACATGTCGTTCTTGTGGTTTTTATATTTCACTAATTTGTTTCCAACTTGATTTGTGGAACCAGGTTCAGCAAGAAGAACAAGGATAGTATAAATCCTTATATATACCTGCCTTTTGGAACTGGACCCCGAAACTGCATTGGCATGAGGTTCGCGATTATGAACATGAAACTTGCCCTTGTCAGAGTCCTGCAGAACTTCTCCTTCAAGCCTTGTAAAGAAACACAGGTCAGACAGAGAACTTTCTGTATAAAGAATGTTTTACTGTTTTTTTTAAAACTAAGAGATACAGAAAGGATGTGTGTGCGTGCACACACGTACACGCGTACACGTGTGTGTGTGTGTGTGTGTGTGTGTGTGTGTGTGTGTATAGGCTCCTTTGTCCTTAATTTGTTCTGTTGGTCATCTCTATTTGGATTCATCTGTGACTTTTAAGTTTCCTTCAGCTCTGAGCGCCACGTCTATGGGTTATTAACACTCAAACATAAGGGCCATCTAGAGTCAGTGCAGTTAGTGTGATATGATTATGCACAGACCTTTGAACTTGAGCAATGTGGTTTTTTTGCGCTATTTTATTTATTATTTATTTATTTTAAAATTTACATCCAAGTTAGTTAGCATATAGTGCAATAATGATTTCAGGAGTAGAATCCAGTGATTTGCCCTTTATGTACACACCCCCCCCCGTGCTTATCCCAACAAGTGTCTTCCTTAATGCCCCTTACCCATTTAGCCCATCCCCCCACCCACAATCCCTCCAGGAATTCTCAGTTTGTTCTCTATATTTAAGAATCTCTCATGTTTTGTCCCCTTCCCTGTTTTTATATTATTTTTGCTTCCCTTCCCTTATGTTAATCTGTTTTGTATCTTAAATTCCACATATGAATGAAGTCATATGATATTTGCCTTTCTGTGACTAATTTTGCTTAGCATAATACCCAGAACTTGAGCAATGTTTTATTTATTTATTTATTTTTATTTTTTGGTGAATAAATCTTTATTTTTTTCTTTTTATTTCAGTATATGAAATTTATTGTCAGATTGGTTTCCATACAGCACCCAGTGCTCATCCCAAAAGGTGCCCTCCTCACTACC